AATATAAATAAATGCTGATAATATATGCTAGTATCTATCCAAAGTTAATAAAATTTTCAAAAATTTTAGTAACAGTAGTGATAAGTTGATTTTGAAGTAGTTTTCTGGAAGTTTTTGAAATTTGTAATAAGATCTAAGTATGTATAAAGTTGGAATGAGTTGAGATTTGTCTTTTATGAAAAGGTTACATAGTAGTTTGATTTTGATTTGGAATGAAATTTCAGTTAGAGAGGATAGTAATTCTGGTAAAATATCATCAATATATTTCTTGAGTTTTTTCATAAGTTCTGTATGGTTAACATAGGATTGTGATTTTCTAATAAATAGTTAATAAGATAAGTGAGGAGGCTGGCAAGTTCATAGAATGGAATATTGTTAATATCAATAGTTTTTAGATAGATAATTAATAAGATAGTGCAGACAATTACTCAGATTTTTTTTTTGTTTCGAAGTTAACAATGTTGAAATTGCATTTTTTTTTATATTTTTCTTGAAAATCTTTTTCTATTTTATTGAATTCTTTTTGATAAGCAGGTTTGATGTCTTTTTTAGTAATGAAAGAGTTGAAGAAAGTACAGTTTTAAATTTGAGTTTGTTAAAGATTGGTTGGAAGAAGTATGGCAGGTATTTGAGTAATTTTCTGATTTTTGTAATTATGTTGATAATTGTGATGAAATTATTGAATATTGGGAGCAGTTGGTTGACTAGTAGTTTTGTCTCTTCATGTAAGGTTTTGTATTGCTTGTTATCACAGATTTGTTAGAGTTCTTTTTGTATTTTATGATTAAAAGAAAATAACCATATATTTGGTTTAGGTGGTTAAGTAAGTGTAGTAATAGAATTAGAGAGCTGGTCAAGATTGACAACATTTTTGAAGTTGATTAATTTTGATTGGTCTGCTGGTTTGATTTTGCTAATGTCTATTGTTGTGGGCTCTCCATTCAGCCTACACTACTGGTCGTCACTTCTGTTCACAATAAGATAAGTTTTAACTCTTGAGGCATGTTTCTTATTTGATCATTCTCTCACTTTAACTTCTTTACCAACTAGCCTAGAACCCTTTCAATGCTAATTCCCTTAGGCAATTCTCGGTTCTCTCTTGTAGTCATGTAGCCCAAGTTACAAGTCTACTTTGGCATACTAAACACAAGGTAAAAGTTTATCTGTTAAATATACTTTATTGTTTATTACTTAATGTTCAACTCCCATGTTCTTTTTTACATACTAATGAATGGCACATGTATTTATACATACATCTGTTGTTTACATGTTTACATCTGATCACTATTGGACACTACTCTAGAAATTTTTACCAATAATCTTTCCCACAACTTAATTTATTCACCTTTAATTTTCCTACTGTTGATCTCATAACACACTAATTACGTGACGCGATGGCGTGTACTGTTACTGTGCCTACTTTTTATCCACAACATTCCCCCACACCTATCTTAAACACACCATGCATAAGACTGAATTATGAATCCAATTCTCTCCAGAATTCAGTTGGTATCTATAGTTTGCAATTATTAGTAATGGTGGAGTATCAGTTGGTGAAATCTCGTTGGTATCACAAGATATACAGGAAACTCTAATTCCCTTGATCTTTCTTCTGTGCGATATGTCGACATCAAGTTTCAGATCATGACAAAGTATATGCATAAGCTGTTGACGCATTTTAGATATATTACAATGTTTATTTGCCTCGTCCTTTCATGTGTATGTTCCTTCTATTGTTAACTCCTCCACACCTTGGTCAGCCTTGCACATATCTTGTCTAATCAGGGTGTCATTACTGATAATGCATTGTGATGTCTCTATGTACCTAGTCCCCTCACTAGATTTCCATTGTGTGGTTTTAGGTGAGGCTTCAGTATCTAAGACACTTGCCTCGATTTCTGAAATACTGGGGAACTTTGTATCTGACACATTGATAGATATATTTATCTCATTTTCTGTTGATTTCGACTCCTGATTGTGAACAGTGTTTACGGTTTTCGATACTGTCATAGCAACTTGCACCGAAGTTACTTGATCTATAATATACTGGCTTTCAATATTAGTAAGTCTTAAAATAGTATCGGCACTGTAAGTAACTTGTTTAACCATATGCCATCCTATTCCATTGACTTTTTCCTGGGTCATAGTATCATATTCCCATCCGAATAGCTTAAGAATTTTTCTTGCTTTACTTGTTATTTTGCGTAAATGCTCATCAGAAATGCCCGTGAGGTATGGCTTCATTTCATTATAAATCTGGGTTCTTGCAGTCTTATCCTTAAGATCTTTATTTCCAGATATAAGCTTTATAAATCTATCTTCATATTTTTCAGAATAGCGACCCCAAGATAAAATTTCTTTCTGCTTAGCTTTGATAGATTTTTTTCTCGCTTTACTAGCCTGATATAACAAATGGGCAATCTCAGCAGGTGCAGAATTTGAAGGCTCACTATTAATAATTTCAATATTTTTTCCTATTGAGTTTTCCAAAAATCCTTGTAACAAACCTTGCACAACTTTACTTGGCACGTATTTACTAGCTTTGACTGAGTTCCTGATAGATTTTTGAGATATATTTTGTATGGATTTTTTGGCGAAGTCTTTTTTTGATCGTGAACAGTGCTCACGGTTTTCATATCACATGATTGGAGGTGGCATTAACTCTTCTAATTCTCCTGAAGAAGTATTTTGTTTTCCAGAAGACACTTTCTGATCGCGAAGCTTCTTTTCCCTAATTCTCTCCATTATTTCGTTACTAACCTGTTCCTTATATGCCATTTCTATAAAATCTAGAGTCTCGGCTGAATTATCATCAGTAACGTCTTGCAGTATTATCAGGTATATTAGATGCCGGAGTATGATTAGAATTTACTGGATATCATGAAACATCTTCCATAGAAATACTTTTTTCTTTTTCCCCCTGTTCTAATATAAAAAGTCTAGTATCAAGCTCTATATTCTTTTGCTCTAATTCCTTGACTCTAGCATCGCGCTTTGTATTATCTTCTATATCTGTTTTAGCTTTGTATTCTTAGCCTCAACCTCAGCTAATTTCTTTTCAAGTACAGGAATCTTATTGTTCTCCTTTCTGCTTGGCAATTTCAACTAAGAGTTTAGCATTTAATTCTCTTAATGAAGCAATTGCAGTTTGTGAATCTTTAGATTCATCCCTTTGAGCTTGTGCATCAAACATTTTTTTATATAAAATGTGATATATATTTAATTAATCATACAAAATCAAAAGATCACTTGGCATAAACCATGAACACTGTTTAGGATCAGAAAAAAATTTTTATTTTTTTTTTTTTTTTTATTTTTTTTTTTCCGTAATCAAACAAGTATTTTAAGAGTTTATTTAATCTTAAAGAAGAATACATATTAGTTTAA